GGGGCATGGCACTGCTGCCTCCTTACCCAGCTCGGTCCCAAAGGAGGGAGGAGCACACAGAGGGGACATGTGGCGGCAAAGGTCGCTGAGAATTCTTTAGGCAGGAATGTCTCAAATATTGTACATATATATTTTTTATATACATTTTATGTACATTTATATTTTTTTTTTCTTAAGGCTTACAGGCTGGGAGGTTCTCTAGTCTTGGAGCTTTAGGTTAAAGCATCACTCATGGTGGCAATGTCTCACCCTTGTCTGCCCCTGACTCCTCGGTGTCGTTCTGAGCCCAGACATGTGTCAGGCACATTTTTGGAGGAGGCTCACGCCTTCAGGCTGGGTCACGGTGCCCCAGTGCCAGGCTGGCAGGAACAGATCATGGGGGAGGAAGGAAGAACACCCCGGAGCCATCCCCGGGACAGCAGCACTCCCCGGGCCCTGCAGGCTTTGCCCTGCTGGAGGCAGCTGACAGAGGGACCGAGAGCTGCTGGCAGGGCTCTGAGGGGGAATCAGCCTGTTAATTAAGAGCTTAATTACCCAATAACGAATGGTGGACTTAGCTCAGCCTTGAAGCAGGCCAAGCGAGTGAAGTGCCCTCGGGGAGGGCCAGAGGAGGTGAGCCGAGGGCAGGCTTTGCCTTCTGCCGTATTTGGGAATATTTGTAAGATCTGTACGTGGAGAGAACAGAATCCTGCAGCCCCCTCAGTATCTCTGTCCCTGCCGTCTCCAAGGTGCCAGTGGGAGGCCAGGGGTGGGGATCACTTGTCCCTCCATCTGTGCAATGTACCCCAGGCAAGGGGGGGACTCCACCACCATTCCTGCTGGTGGAGGAGGGAGGGGAGTTTGCGAGCTGCAAAAGGAGAAGAATTTCCTTGGCTTGGTGTGTTTTGCTGCAGAAAGGCGGTTTCAGCTCCAAGGGTAAGGGAAATGAAACAGAAAAATGCTTCCTATTAAGCAAAAGGGATGGAGAGCCCTGCAGAGCAGGGCTGTCTGCAGGGGCTGCGCGCTCCGCATCCGCAGCCAGCGCCCGCAGGGGGCCGGGCTACGGCACAGGGACACGGGGACAGCCACGGCCAGCCCCACGGTGGCAGGCAGTGCCCGGGGAGAGGGCAGGTGGCTGCTCTCCACACAGATCCCCGTGGTTCCCTGGGCAGGTCCCGTGGGGAGACGGGGATGTCTCAGCACAAGGGGCGGACTGAGATGGGTCTGGCCAATGCCCACAGCCTGTCCTGAGGGTCCCCTGACTGCTGGGACATGGGCAGTGCCAGCACATCCTCTTGCCCTGCCTGCAGCCTCGTGGGTCCAGAGAACAGCCTCAGCAGAGATCCCAAACCCAGCAGGCAGCCCTTGCCCAGGGCACGGCTGCGGTTCCTCATCAGGGGATCTTCCTCCCCTTTGCTTTTAGATTTTTTTAAAAGCCCCAACAGACCTAGCAGTTTTGTGGCAGGAAGAACAACATTCATTCTGGAGCTTTCCCAAGTAATTCATCCTCTAAGAAATTAATTATCAGCACGGGGGCTGCGTTTTTAATCAGCATCAGTCCCTGTGTGCTCGGGGTCGGAGGCTGCTGCTGCCTCTGCCTCCAGCAGCTCTGGGTTCCTGCGGCAGGGAGGGGATCGGCTGCTGCTGTGGGATAGGAATTGTGAGCAAGGAGAGAAAGAGGCCCTGACAGCTGTGCAAACACCCCCCGGGTAGCAGCACCTGCCACCTACGCCCGGGGTGGGTGGAGTGCTGGGGCAGCCCAGGTGCTGAGAGCGGCTCCCACACCCACACAGAAGTCCCAGGGTGCTCACGGGGTTGGGAGCAGGAATACAGCTCTGGAGACAGAGCCCTGTGACCCCCATCCTGCACCGAGGACAGCTAACGACGCAGGCAGCGTGCTCAGGTGTGGGTGGCACACGGGAAAGGGATGTGACAGTGTCTGTTTGCTGGGGGACACGGGGGCACCTGCTCCAGCAGAGCTGCCTCTAGCAGCTGTTTCCCTGACAAATGGTGTTTGGTTTGGTGGGAGAGCCTTAATGAAAGCGGTGGTGGCTGCAGGAGTGGGGAGGGGATGCTCTGGGGAGGGAGGAGGAGGAAAGGACAGAAGGACAGAAGGATGTTGGACACATCTCTTGGTGATGGCTCCTTGCAGGACCCACACCTCGCTGCCTGGCCAGGGACACCCGGGTCTCCATGGCCAGCTCTGCCTGGTGGGGTTTTGGTCCTCCAGGAGAAGGTGTGTTACAGGTGGGGGAGAGCTGAGGGTGCACTTTTTGGAGTGGGGGTGATGAGGGGTTTGGGGACCTCTGGGGCTGTTGAACCGCAGGAGCTGGGGGTCCCTCGATGTGGGGACGTGCTTCTGTCATACTTGTGCCCTCTAGTGGCTTTGTCCTCGCTCTCTGGTCCCTTGGCCACCCTCCCAGTGACACCACCATGCTCCTCATGGCCACCACCCTGCAAGGCCCGGGCTCTGCCTGTGCCTCTGGCACTGCCAGCCTTTGTGGTGCTGGGGAAATGCTGGGCAAGAAGGGTTTAGCTGAGGCAGGAGGGCACCTGGCGATGCCTTCCCCATGGTCATCTCCTTCACGCTGGGAGGGAGTGCTTGTCCTTGCTTTCGAGATGCTTCATCATGGAAATGTGATTTTTAGATTAGTGGGGAGGAAATGGGTTCCATAACCTTTCCAGAGGCGTGATTCTCCAGCCAAAACTGTTGGGTGAGTGACCCCAAAATGCATTTTATTCCAGAAAATCCAATCTTGAGATTTCTAACACAAAGTTTCTCATTTTCCACTGCTCGGGGCTGTTCTCTACCTTTCTGTTTCCTCTGTGTTTAATCACATGACAGCCTGAAAAAAAACCCCAACACAGTTTTTTTTCTCATTCTACTGATGTTTCTCTTTTATCTAAAAGAAATAAAACGCTCCTTTTCCTCCAGCCTGTGGCAGCCACCACGTCTGAGCCGTGCTCCCGGGGGACAGGACGCCTGGATGCCCTGCGGCTGCTCCTGCCTCCCGTGTGCTTCTCTCCTTCCCTGTGTCTCCTCTTTGCAGGTTTTTGGACCCTTCCCCGAGCTGTGGCAAGGACAGGAAAGGTGGTTTGGTGGAAGAAGCCCAGCTGTGGGTCGCTGGGGTGGCTGGAGGAGCAGGGTGAGGGTTGGGCGCTGTATTTAGGGCAGTGGAGCTCCTGTGTCCCCTGCAGGGACAGGGGGATGGGGATGTCCCCATGCACTTGGCAGCCAGCCCTGCCTGTGCTCCCTCCTCTAGCAGGGGATATTTCCTATCTGTGAGAGCAGATGTTGGTTAGGAGCTTCCTAAGCAGTTTCTCTTCCCTCTCAGAATTGCTGCTTGGCAGAGAGAATTAAATTCTCTTTTGTTGTCAGTTTAGAGGGGAACAAAACCAAACGTCACCTGGAGAAATTCTTGCTGCTGCACCCCCAGGGGATGGAGCGGTTGCCTCCGGACCAGGATTAGCCCATCACTGAGAAAGCCGATGGTCCCTGAGGGGATTAGACAGATGATCGATGCTGGGATTAGTTTGTGTGGTGGCTGCGGTGACAGCAGCGACCCAGAGCAGCAGCTCCACCCTACCTGTGCTTGCACCGAGCCAACCCCTCCCCAGCCCGGTCCCGGGGGCTCTGGGATGGTCCCTGAGCAGTGTCAGCCCAGCGAGCAGGGGGTGAGGGCAGCGCTGCTGCAGCCAGCACTGCCACAGATGTTCTGCGTTTTGGATTTCTCCCCCTTCCAGCCTCGTTAGTATCGAAATTAAAAGCAAGTGTTTGTGAATTGGTAGCTGTTCTCCGAGACCCTAATTAGCAAATCTCTTCATCCCCTGGGGCTGCAATCTAATAATCAAAAAAAGAAAACCAAAAAAAACTCCAAAAAAACCCCAGCACCCAAACAAGCCCCAAACCTTGTTTGATGGATCGGGAGTGCTACTGGAACAGTAGGAAACGGCTCTTCCTGCTTAGTATGGTAATTAAACACTTCAATTGCAATTATTTTTGCAATTAGATAAGCCTCTAATTGTTATCATAGGTGGCAGGGGTTTGGGTGTGTGTTTGCCAGTTCTCGGAGCTGGAGCAGAGCGTGGATGCTCCAGGCGGCTCCGGCCGCTCCTGCCGGGTTTGTTTGGGGAAGAGGAGCTCCCCTCCGCAGGGACCCGGCTCCTGCTGCTCTGCAGAGCTGCTGGTCAGGCCATTTCTCAATCCGCTCTGGGGGCTCAGCCCAGGAGTGTCATAGCTCCTTATCCCAAGGCCACAGCAGGGAGGAGCACGAGGGGACCTTGCCAGGCAGGGCATCACCTCGCTGGGGATGTTTCCTTGCCCGCTGATGTTTTGGTGGGATTTGGCTGCTGGGGGGCACTGGGGCTGCAATCCTCCCCCTCTCAGCTTTCCTCTCTCTTTGGGAGCTGATTGCTCTCTGTATACCCTAATTAGTGGTGGAAGGGTGAAACCCACGCAGGTACCGGTGGCAGATGCTGACCCCAGCGCTGGGGTGGCTCGGGGGTGTTGGGGAGCTCGGGGAGCGATTGGGGTGCGCTGTGCCGGGTCGGGGAGCCCAGCCCCGCCGTGGGTGATGACAGTGGGCGATCCCCACGCCGTGGCCGGAGCTCGGGGCCGCTCCGTGCCCGCAGCCAGCAGGGAGAGCTCCCAGCCGGCGGTGCCGCCCCTCCGGGTCCGCGCCTGGGGGATGCAAGGTGTCCCCTGCTCCATCGGCTCAGGGACCAGGGAGGGAACATCTGGTTGGTCCCACAGGGCAAGATGTGCTCTGGGAGGGTGCCAGCCTTGCCCAGGCTAGCTGTGTCTGTTTTGGGTGTTTGTGCTGTGTGTCCAGGTTCTGTCCCAGCAGAGGGATGGGGATGGGACAGCAGGATGGAGCACGGCAGGGAGGCTCTTCCCAGGACAAAGCACACCCACAGAAATCAAGTATCACATTTTCCTTCTGTCTTAAATAGATTTTTATACCACTGATGATTTCTGCACAGGCTCGGGGCAGAAATCTTCTCTTTTGGGAACATTTGTGTTGAGCCTTCTTGCGAGGGCAGAGCCTGGGGCAAACCCTGGCTGCTCAGTGTCTCCCCAGCAGGCTCCAGGGCTTCTCTCTGCCTTGCAGTAGGGCTGGGACAGGGGGTGTGGTGTAAGGACAGCCCCAGGGATGGGCAGCAGCCTTGCCCCAGCATGGATGCTGAGGGACTGGGATGTCCTGTGCACAGACATCCAGCACTCGTGGCTGCCAACACCCACCACGCTGAGCCCTCCTGCCCCCTCACCCCATCTAGCAGGGCCTTGCCCCTCTGAGGGGTGGGTACATCCCTAGGACACCAGGGAAGGTGGTGCCTGTGTTGTCTTTCTCCGTCCTAGGCTGGTCTGCCTGGCACCAAGACCTCAAAAGCAGCACCTTCCCCCTGCAGCCTGACCCGTGGGTCTGGAGAGGGCACTCCCTGCCCTGCCCTGCCCTGCCAAGGGCATGCTCTGCTTCCTGACCCAGCTCCTCTGGCATCTCTTGCTGCTGCTGTGGGGCTTGATGCTGCATGTGTCACTGCCCAGACAGGATGGGGAGGTGTTCTTCTGCAGCTCCTCCGAGGGCTCTTCTCACCCAGCACCCTCCTGGGCAGAAACCTGGGCGGGCAGAGGCCTCTCCAGCAGTGTTTGGGGGTGGAGTGGTGCCATGTGCCAGAGCAGGGATCCTGCAGGGGAACACAGAGGGTGATCAATGACTTCACAAGATGCAGATGGGTCCATTTCCCCCCTCTCCTGCTCCCAGTGTAAGGGGTGCTGCATTCAGCACAGGCTGTGCCTGGGAGGGACCGTGGTGTGATGCCGTGGGGATGCTCCCTGCATCCTTGACTAAATGCTGAGTGCTGGCATTTGGGCAGAGCTGAGCAGGCTTTCATCACCCCAAGACCTATCATCCAATGCCCCTCTGAGCAATAACACTCTTCTTTGTGGCTTTCTCTGCCTGTTCTTCCTGTCCCTCAGGCCAGCTAGCAGCAGGGCTGGGTTGTCAGTCGTAGCCTGACAAAAGCTGATGTCCTGGAGCTGGAACTGCTCTGCTCCTGGGTGCTGCTTCTCCCATGGCCCCTCTCCCTGCTGTGGGTCAGGGAATTTTTTGGTCAGGAGCTCTTTGGTTGAGTGTCCTGTATGAGTGGTATTTCCTGTCCCCACCCCCATGGTGCAGAGAGGAAATATGTGGTGACACCAGGACCTCAGATCTCATGCAAACCTCTCCCCCAGACCTCTGCTTCATTCTGCTGATTAGATCAGCAGCCTCTCAGGGGATGGCTGGCATTTTCCTTTTACCTCACACAAACTACATGTGTCTTAGAACATATGCACAGAGATGGAAAGCATGAAGCAGAAGAGCTGGAATTGATGTCCCCTCTGCCCCTGCTGCTGGGCAGTGACAGCAGCAGAGATGACTCTGCCTTGTGTCTGCACTGTGCCTGCCCTGGGGACCTTCACTTTGTGCTTTGTGGTTTCCAGGCTGGAGGCATCACTCTGCTCCTGCTGCAGGGCAGCAGTGATGCCTCCCCGAAGAACAGCACCTGCAGCCTCCAGTCCTCTGCTTCTCCTCCTGCTGATGGGCAATGGCATTGCCAGGGTGATTCACAGGGAGCACCTCTGAGAAGTGCAGGTTTATGGTGCACCCCAGGGCAGGGGGTCCCTGTACCCCAGCTCTGTGTGTGGACAGACAGCAGCAGCTCCTGTTGTTGCCGTGACCTTGGCTGAGGTTAGAAGTGCTCAGGGTGCAGCAGGGACGAGGTGTGCCCAGCTTCCAGCACGTGGGTGACTGCATTTCCCCCAGGGCACAGTCAATATGGAGAGCCCAGGTTATCAGCATGCAGCATTGGAGGGGAGAGCACGTGGAGGTCAGGGTGACCTTGCCTGGCTCTTCCTGAGAAGGGCTGCACAAAGTGGCTCTCTGGAGCTGAGAGGCATCCCCATGCATGGCAGTCGTGGCCTCCAGCCCAGCACCACTTCGAGAGAGCAGCAATGCCTGGTGCAGCATCAGCTCTTCACCTCGGGAGCCCTGCCAGCATCTCCGCCAAAGCTGCTGGCAATTTATGTGGATGTAGGCTTGCATGAAAATGAAGTGTGCTGGAAATTCATGGTCTGAATGCAGCTGCCTCTGCAGTGCATGAGGAGCAGGCAGGATGCAGCATCTTCCAGGGCATCTCAGGCTGATTCTATAGTCCCAAAACTCCAGGGCAGCCACAGAGAGGGGCCCAGCTCTGTGCACCTCCCCTGTGCTTGGGACTTGCTTGGAGAGCAAGCAGTGATGGATAAAGGAGTGAGGATGCATCTCTGATGGTGTCACCCTTTGCACCAGGTACCATCAGGAAGGGATGCCTGCACCAGGAAAAATGCAGTGGATGCCACAGCAGGGAGAGCTGCCTCCTCCCTCATTTTCACCCAGGAGCCCTGGCCTTGTACTCACCCTGCAGCTCTCACCTCTGCTGTCGAGGTTTGCGCTGAGGAAAGCTGAGTGTTGTCCTTTCAACCTCACACACAGGATTTTGGAAGAGGGCAGCCAGGAGTTGAAGGCTGGGAGATGTGGGTCCTAGGGCAGCAGGCTGGCTGAGACTCACAGAAAAGCTCCAGTGCTGGAAAGGTTAAATTGCACATGAAGACAGAGAAAAAGAACAGTCCAGTCTGTCAGGGCCAGCCTGGCTGATCCTGGCTTTGCTCTGTGGAGCACAGGTAGTGTCTGCCTGAGGCTGGCAGCTGGGGCAGGCGTGTTGTGACTAGGACAGGGACCCTTTCCAGTGGGAACTGGCTGCTCCTCTGCCCATATATTGTGGCCATGGTCCTGTCCCATGCTGCTCTAAGCATGCAAGAGTGTGATCCACAGCCACTCATTCAGCTCCAGCGTTTTCTTCCCCAGCACATCCCTGTTAGTGCTGAATGCTCCCTCTCATGGGATTTTAATCTCTCTGAACATCAGGGTCTGGTCTCAGAGCCTACAGCCACGAGCAAGCCAAGCACCAGCTCTCTTCAGAGCCCCGTCCCACTGCACTGAAACAGGTTCCTGTGGTGCTTTGGTTTTCTTTACTGATTTTGTGTGTTGCCTTCCTCTCTGATGCCTGGTGTGGAAATGGGAGCAGCTGTCTTCCCCTTGCACCTCTGCTTGGTCCTGTACTCTCAGCCCTACCTGGTCCTCACTCAAGGGGCCCTCCAGCCCCCAGCTGCTGTGGAGGTCCCGTGGCTTTTGATTCCCTGCCCTGCTTCTGACTGAGGCTCTGAGTGACCCTTGAGACTGGCTGCAGCTCTCCAGTATTTCCACTCTTGTTTGTTAGTCTTTTCCCTATGCCTCATAACTGAAAAGAACATTGTTATTAAGGGCAACAGTTCAAAAATCTGTTTTTCTCTTGAATGATCCCATGGAGCTTCTCTGAGCAGAGCTCTTCTGAGCTCTGGGTGTTCCTGTCTGGGGGGGTTATGAGTTTTTGGAATGATTTATGTTGGTCTTTTCCTGTTAACATGTTCAGGGCAGATGACTCTGAAGCCTCTGCAGAGAGGAAGAGGCCAGAGGAACCAGCCTGGTTTGTGTTGGGGGTGAAATTGGCTGCCAGGTTTTTGGTGAACAGGTAAATCCTGCGCTCACCTGTCTTGTGTGGCATTAGTTGATCCTGATCATCTGCCAACAGCAGATCTTGATTGCTGTGGGTGAGAGGGCTATGAAGACAAGGAGAGAAAGTAAAAGCAGGTGCTTGAGCAACTCTTAACTGATTGTGAGTGGCAACCACAGTGGTGATACAGTGTAGGATAGGGTGGAGCTTGCTGGATTTAGAAAGGTCAGGAAACATCCCTTTGCTTGAGTGTTCCCTCTGGGGAGCCAGGGGAAGAATCTTTTCTACCCGGAAAAGCTGGGAGGGTAAAGGCCAGGAAATCAATGACCCTGCCCTCTGCCTGAGGAACAGAAACCCATTTTTCTTCCTCTTTAATCTCCCTCCAAGTCATTATTGTCCCTTTGTGGTAAGTCAGCATTTTGAGAAGACACTGACATTTATTTATATTCTGTTCTCTCTTGGCTGTGCAGGGAAATCCCAACAGCCTGTTCCCCACCACCAGCTCTCCTGGCTCAGCTGCAGAGCCTCAGTGCAGAGCTCCTGGTTTGCCCAGGGGCTGCACTTCTGTGTGAGCAAACAGGATAGCTCTCTTTGTCTCTGTATGTTTGGAGAAACACCCTCACCACCTTAGACACGTTTTCCATATGTTTTTATACACAACCTACAATTTGCCAAATGCTGTAACTTTGGGCTCTTCATTAATTCCTTGGAAATAGAAAAAGGCAGCCCCGGGACCTGCATTCTTGTATTTGTTCCCGTTAATCCATCCCTCTGTATCTCTTTTTCAGCACCTCTCCCTTGGGTACAGTCACATTGGTGCCCTGGGGGAGGCACGATGCTGGATCAGCCTTTTGGATGGCTCTGAACTTTGGTTCACCTCCCTGAGTTCTCCTTTTGGTGGCTTAAGACTCTTTCTGGGGCAGGATCAAGGGCACGTGCTGCACGAGCGCGGCTTCTCTGCTGGCACGCTGGGAACAGGGAATCAAAGGACTCCTTATCTATGGATGGAAAGTTTCTGGGCTGCTTATCAGGCGCTGCTTAGAGGTTAGATTATCTCAGGAGCAGCAGATTGACAGCCTGCCTCTCGGTTCTCCTTGTGCTTGGCTGAGTGAACACCTTGGAGTGAGGCAGTGAGAGGGTGGCACAGCCCTGTGGGGCTGTGGGTGCCCAGGGAGGGGGCTGAGGAGACAGCCTGGCACAGAACTTGCCCACTTTGCTCCCATCCTGCTCCCTCACCACACCCTTTGCTGGGGCTGACCCTTGTAACAACGCTTGGGATGATGCTGAGGGAATTTTTTACTCTAACTTTACATGGGCATTTGTATTTCTAAAAACATCTGCCAACCTAATTTGGGCTACTCCTGCCCCTTTCCAGAGATGGGAATGGAACTTGCTGTTGGCTGAATTCACTGCTGATGCAAACTGATGGCTGAAATGCTGAGGGTGCATGGCTCGGATGGGAAGTGGCCGAGCTGCTCTGCGGGGAGCTGGGAACCCAGACCTTGGCTCCTGCAGGGACTCTCAGCCTGGCAGTAGGTGCTGTGACTGTGCCACAGGACTAATTCCCATCTTCCCTTCTGTCACCTTTCCTGGCCCCTGAAGCTCTGCTCTGTGCCCAGAATTTGCTGTCTGTTCCTCAAAGGGACACGGCTGATTTTATGGAGTAGCCCCAGCTAAGAGCTTCGCCCCATTCTGTACAGCAAATTCTGATGGCAACTGTCCCCATTACCCAGCAAAGCCAGGGGACATTTTGTGCTCCCTGTGAACGGTGGCAATTCCAGGGGAGGCCCAGCCATCCAGTGGGAAGCTGGAGTACCTGGAGCTGTGCTGCCAGCATGGAGGGGATGCAAGCTGGGTTCTTATGAGTGGTGAGGAATTTCTGAGTGGCTGAACTTAGGAGTTGCCTGGGCAAGGATCTCCAGCTGGGGCATCAGTTTGTTGCTTAAAAGTCCATGGACAACGTGGGGTCCCCACCTCTGCCTTCCTTGCTGGGGACAGACCTACCATCAAAGTCCTGAGTGGAAGAGGAAGCCTCTTACCTCTTGAGGGCTCCATCAGTGAGCAGAGTCCCCTTCTTGTTCCTCACCTCCAGTTTCAAGGGTTTACCGTCCTGCCTGCCCTGGCCCTGCCTGCCCCTGGGCTGGGCCTTTTGGAGGGGAGGCAGGTGGGAGTTCCTGGGGTGTCCCGTCCTCCAGCAGTGCAGCAAGTGCTGGTACGCCACTCGGAAATCCTTGTTGAGTGTCCCGTAGAGGATGGGGTTCAGGGCTGAGTTGGCATAGCCCAGCCAGAGCACAATGGACATGGGTGTGCCTTTGACCCTGCTGTCCCCCCACACGCCCCGGTAGGTGAACATGGTGAAGTAGGGGAACCAGCACACGACGAACGCTCCCAGCACCACCGCCAGCGTCACGGTGGCTTTGTGCTCTTTCACCATGGGTGGCATGGGCGCGCTGCCCCACGTGTGGTTTATCCTCTTGGCTTGCTCCCTGGCTATCTTGAGTATCCGGTAGTAGGTGATGCACATGATGAGCAGAGGGATGTAGAAGGTGAGCAAGCCGTCCACTAACCCGTACACGAGGTTCACTGCCAGCGTGCACTCCTTGTGGCAGGTGGGGTCTGTGTTTTGCACGGCCGTCCCGTTGGTGTTCCAGCCCAGGTGGATGGGTAGGAAGGAGACCATCAGTGAAACGGTCCAAATAACAGCCAAACCCACTGCCACCCGGGAGGGAGTGACCACCTGGCAGTAGCGGAGCGGGGTGGTGACAGCAAAGTAGCGGTCCAGGCTGATCATGAGGAGGTTGAGGATGGAGGCCGTGCACAGCATGACGTCCAGGCTGGTGTAGATGTTGCACAAAACGCTGCCAAAGGGCCACTCCTTGGTGAGCTCGTAGAAGGCAGAGAATGGCAGCACCAGAAGCCCCAGCAGCAGGTCTGTGATGGCCAAGGAGACAATGATGCGGTTTGTCAAGCTCCGGAGCCGGCGGTCGAGGGTGACGGCCAGGCAGACGATGATGTTACCACAGAGGGTGATCACGATGAGGATGACGAGGAAGAACCCGACCAGCAGCTGCAGGGGGAAGTCCATCCTTTTTTGAGAGCTGGTGTGGTTGTAACATGGATCCATGGTGACACTGCAAGGATGGAGCAGTCCTGCTATCATCAGCTCCAAAGCTGCTTGGAGTGAGCCTGGACCGGGCAGCCTAGAGCCCTTCCCAAAGTGACCCTTGTTCTACAGTGACCTTGGAGAACATTGCAGAGTCACTTCACACATTCAGCCTTGTGTGCTGGGAATGACATGGCCTAGGAAAGATGTGGCACTGGGACTCATTTGTGCCTGTTGGTCCCCTCTGGGAGCTCAGTGCTGGAGCCGATGCCCTGTGGCAGCTGCTGGTGGATCTCAATTGCTGCTTTTCCTTTCTTGCCTTCTCCTTTCCTCTGAGTGACCATGGGGCTCTCATGCCCTCTGCATGTTTGGTTGGTGACAGTGGTCAGCAGTGCTCCAGCAGGGACAGAGCTTTGCCACCTCCCAAGGACAACCTGCAAAAAAAAGTGTCTGGTGAGGACCTGGCACAGATTGCCCAGAGAAGCTGTGGCTGTCCCATCCCTGGAAACGTTCAAGTCTAGGCTGGATAAGGCTCTGAGAAACCTGGTGTTGCAGAAGGTGTCCATGTCCTCGGCAGAGGGGTGGAATGAAATCTGTCAGGTGCCTTCCAAGCCATTCTGTTATTCTATAAAAGCACCAAGTCAGAGCTGCAGTGAGCAAAGACCCTCTGAGCTTCCCCTCAAGCCCCTCCAGAAGCAGGGTGTCTGTACCTCCCTGGCTGCTCCAACCCACTTAAACCCAAGTTGTAAATTCCTTTGGCAGCCAGGCACCCGTGTGTTTGCCAGCTGGGCTCTCCCAGCCCTAGGGGTGCCCATGTAATGGAGGGGTGTTGAGAGAAGGGTAGGGATTTTAAAATTGTCATGTTCCTATAGGCTTACAGTAAAAGTGAGAACGAGGAGGATATGAGGAAACAATTTTCCTGAGATAGCAGTTCTTATGCAATTCAGCAAAATTAGTCACGACTACGTAATTTCTGAATCTTGGCTGCGGCTGCCAATCTCATTAAACTTTGTCCTTGTGTCTGTGCTTGGCAGCAGACATCCTGCCATCACAAATCACAGCAACTCCCATGGCCTGTATGGGAAATCCCCACTCTGCTCTGGGTCCTGGGAGGGAAGAAGACTATCCCTTGCAGACTGACTTTTTCTGGCTGTTTTCTGTCTGCATACAAATAACAAAACCCCACGTGTTGCCAGGGAAGAAACAACAGAGCAAACCACTCTAACTTACAATGAGCTGCTGGTTATGGTGATCTCCAAGACCCTGCCACTACTAGATTCAAAGGGACCTCGGGTCCTTGACTGGAAGCAATATCCATGTTGGAAAGATTCCTAAAGGGGAATTGAGGCAGTGCAGGGACAAGAAAGAAGGCTGGGAATGGGCTGAGGACCTGCACTGTGCTGACCCTCATGGATCTGCCTGTGTCCAAGCTGTGGTCTCCCACCATGAGCCTCCCAGATGATTTGAGGGGTCTCCCCATCCTCCTCAATGTGCTGGTGTGGGAGAGCTGTGCTGGTGCCCGTGGGTGGTGCAGGACCCAGCTCTGCAGGCTCTCTGCACCCCGTGGAGCAGCAGTGAAGCCTCCCCTGGTGGTGCCCAGGATTGTGCAGGAAGGCAGAGCTGATTCTCTGCAGAGAGCAACAGGCTGCAGAGATGGAGCAATCAGAAGAAACTCTAGGAAAGGAAAAGATCCAGCCTTGTCAGAGGACAAAGGTGAGATTTTAAACTCCCCCTGCAACAACAAGATAACACTGTGGTGCAGGTTGAAATATTCCTCAGATGATTTATGTCTTTGATTGAAGTCTAAAGGCATGGGGGCCACAGGAGGGAGTGTGCCAGGGAGACTGCATGAGCAAACAACCACTGATTGCCAGGAGCCATACAGGGGGGAGATTGGGACTGGACCACTGAGATTAGAGGCGATTCCCACAGCCCTGCTGCTTCTAAAGGCATGGAAAGCAAACAACAAGCCACGAACCAGCCCATGGGAAGCCTTTTGCTGAGCAGAGCAAACCCATTGGCAGACAGGAAGCCCTCTGAGTTTGGGTGCTGGGATTGAGGCTGTTGGGAGAGGGATGCAATGCTTTCAGCCACAGCAGCAGTGTGTGGAGCGCTCCTCACCTCCAGCTGCAGCGCAGGCTCTTGCCATGGAAAGCTCTTTGTTCGCTCACAAAAGGAGTGTGGAACAAGCTGAGCGCTGCCTGCCCACTGACGGCAGCGAGGAGAACAGGTTGTTCCCACAGAAGGGTATTTCCAAGTGAAAGGGATGTGTTTTCATTGCTCCCAACATGTGGAAATGGCAGATTAAATTATAGGGGGAGTAGCACACTTAGAAAATGCTGTGGGTGGATGGCAGCCTCCTACGTGGCTGCTTCACCACACACCAACAGCCTGCTCCTGCCTCTGGCTCTCCAGCTCACGTGGGCTCTGCTGGGCTCGCCTTGGGCTCTGCTGGTGGGACCCAGCTCTGGGCACTTGGGCTCATTTGGATTCTGCTGTGGTGCCAGGGCAGCTCCTGGTGCAGCCCTGCCCTGCTGATGTGCCCAGAAGGGGTTTTGCTTCTTATTGCTTGTTCAGATTAGCTCAGGGCAAGGAATGGCCACTTGCAAGGGGACAGAGGTGTCCCCATCCCTGCAGAGGAGCTCAGGTAGTGCTGGGGATGCTGTGGCTCAATGTGGGCTGCAGGGCTCAGCTGCCTGCAAATCCTTGGGATGTTCCTCCATGGAATGGGGCAGGACCTGCCTCCTGTCAGCTCGGGTGTGTGATGCTGCAACCCTAACTGTGCTGGAGGTGCGGGACACCTTCCCATATCCCTCAGCCAAATTATCTCATGGAAACACTCCCCCAGGAGAGCCTCTGGACATGGCTTTGCAAGAAAGGCAGGCTGGAGGGCTGGTATAGCTGGGGGGCTGTCAGCTCTCTGCCAGGACACAGACCCCAGGATGATGCCTCCAGCTCAGAGCTCTCTCCTGGAGCATTGGCTCTCTGTGATTCCACGTGTGCTCCTGGCTTTGTGCCCAGGTCATACACAGCCACCTCCAATACCTGTGTCCTCTGCTCCTGCTGTGTTCTGGCAGAGTGAGTTGATTTCCTCCTCGATGTACGAGTGGAGCAGGTGTTTCCCATGGCAGTCTTTCCAGCAACAGCCAGAATAAATGATACCTTTCCAGCCCTGTCTCACCAGGCAGCTTTTACATTTACCTGATTATCCTCATTATCACAGCCTGGACCTGTTTGTGGTTCAAAATCACCCTCCTGACATTGAAGGAACCAGAGCAGGGCGCTGCTTCTGGGTCATCTTTCTCATGCCTTTTCAGTGGCACTGGTGCTCTGATTGACACTATCTCTGCTGTGAAGACTTCTCAGGTTGCATTTGTTGTTGCACTCATCCTGGGGTTCCCCAAAAGTCAGATATTTTTCCTATGGTGTTTTCAGCTGCTTAGAGTAGCAATTTTTGCTTTTTGCTAAGCATGTGAGCCTGTGCCAGCCCTGTGTGTTTCTGTTAATCTTCAGATCCTCTGGTTCTTCTCCTCTAGTACTTAGTCCCTTGTCCAGTGCAGAACTTCTCCCAAGTTTCTCACCCGTACATTTCTCTTAAAGAAGCCCTAATTTTCTGAGTCAAGATCACTAATGAAATCCATTAAATAAAATTTACCTCTAGGCTGATCTTTAAGGAACTCTGTTAATAGCCTTCTCTAGTGCATTAATGATCCTTCTGCTGTAATATCCTATCGTCTCCCCATTATCCTCTTTACAATTCTCATAGTAATTTCTGCTTTCTCTTGCCTGAACAGATATTTTCTGCTCTGTTGCAGTCCATGTTGTATTTGATCCGCCGTTTTCCTCTTTAAAATGGCATTTATCTCCTCTGGGGAGGGGGCTGTGATTTATTAATGGGAAATTTCTGTTGCATTTTACCTTTTTATTCCCCCTCCCCACCTCTCAGCATCCTTTCCTCCAACATCATTAATTCCAGCACTTGGTGCACTTTTGCAGTAAGATTAATGGGATGCAGTGCTGGCTCTGGCAGGGAATGCATTGGCTGCTCTCCTTCCTTTCTGGCATAACAGGTTTGTTTTGAACCTGTTAAAAGCCCAGGTACATTGGCACCATGAGCAGACACACGAGTGGAGAGGAGCACTCAGGGAGTGCCTGAATGTGGCAGCCTCTCTTTGGGAAGTATTTCCCACTTCTGGAAAGGACAGAGGTTGCTGGGGGCTCAGGAGAAGCGTCACGTGAAGCCTTTTAGCTCTGTGTGAGGAACAGGAGGGCTGTGCCCTTGCAAATGTTCCTCTGCCTCCCATGACAGCTTCTTTCTGAGAAACGAACAGGCAGAAAAAGTGCTTTGCACTTGGGAGTAAAGTGCATTCCCTGGCCGTGTGGAGCTCACAGCAGAGCGCCATGGCTTTTTCTAGAATTATATTCAACTCCTTCCTGAGACTGAACATCTGGGCATGCTGGGAGAGGTATTTCAGCCAAGAGATGGGAAGGAGTGTGGGGGTTTCTTCTGGTCTGAGACAGGATGCCTGAGGTTTGATGGTGGGAACTGCAAAACTCCCAAGCTGGGAATGGGCTTCTTGATTCCCTGCCAGGCCCATAAGCCTGATTCACAATGGGACAACAGCAAATTTGTCACAGGTAGGACTTGAAGGCAATGTGAGAGAGGAAAAACGCGAGGGGACACTGGTGTCCTGCCTGGCTGCATCCCCAGACACTTCTGTCCCCGTTGTTTGGGCTTCTCCAGAGTTTGGTGCTCTCTCTGCCCTATCCCAGTGTGATGTATGATACAAAGCAGCAATTATTGCCTCTAGCATGAGCAGAGGGGTTGGGGCAGGCAGGACAAAATTCCCATCACTGTCACCAGCCCTCTGTCATGCTTCCCCAGGAGGAAAGGGGCTCTGTGGGTAAGGAGCTGTTCAGGACCCCTGAAATCAGGAAATGTGAAGAGCAATGTGGAAATGCACAGAGCAGTCAGCATTTCAAAAGTTTGCTCGGCAGACAGCGTCCAGGAAAGGTGAAACTGAAAACAGAGGAGTCGGGCTCAAGGGTGTGCTTGGAGCTGTCTGAGTTTCTGGGATTCAGCCTCCTGCTGAAGCCGATTCTGGACAGGGACAGCGAGCACTGGGCACCCCCGGGACTGCCCAGCCCAGCCTGGGGGTGTCCTGCCCCACAGACCTGACCGTGCCCTGGCGTGGGGCAGCAGCAGATCCCCACAGCTGCCAGGGTGTGCAGGGCTGGATGGAAGAGCTGGAGTGCCCAGGGAAAAGGCTCAGGTCAGTGTGAGAGGTCAGCAGAGCCCCCGTGGGGAGGCTGCTTGGGCAGAGAGGCTGCACACCACAGATGTGCAGGGCTCTGCCCTGGGCACACTGCACCATGCCCTTACTCTGACTCTGATGTTCTCGGATCCAGCTGTCCCCACCAGAAACAGCCAAAAAAGTCCCCAAACTGGCCTCCAGTCAGCCACCACAGGATGCTGATGGCACCAGCATCGGACAAGTGACACCCTCTCGCCTGACCCAGCTGTCCCGTTGCCGGCTCCCACTCAGCAGCGACCCACCAACCCTTCCGAATCTCACCTAAAAAGTATTTTAGCAGCGAAACAACTCAGCAAGAAGTAAGGCAAAAACGTTACCTGGCGAAGGTGGTGCTTTCTCAGAGCCCCTGAGCGTGTGGGAGCCTTCGGTGGCTGCAGCGAGTCCAGCCTGGCCCCGGTGCGTGCGGCTCCGCTGCGGGGGCAGAGCCGCGGCTGCCTCGCTCCCTCTCCTCTCTGCTCTCCTCCTCGCTGCTCTCGAACCAGCCTCCCTCCCTGCTCTCGTACCAATACTACCCAGGCAGCGGTGACTGCAACATGAGTCAGACCTCCAGTGGGTGGGATCAGAGCTGCTAACTCAGGCACCGAGGTTATCATCCGGCAAATTTGAAATGCTGAAAGTGAGCCCGGCTCCGAGCGTGTTGGGCTCGGCCGAGCCGTGCCTGGCACAGAGAGGGGGTGGGATGCCTGCTGCCTCCTGCTGCTGCTTTCTTGAGTGATACCATCACCTTCCTCACTCACCTGAAGTTTCGGGGCCCTTGCTGCTGGTTTGCCATGTGCTAAGGTTCCTTCCTTCCCTCGCGGCTTTCTTCTGCAGGCACACACTTGCCTGCTGTCGGGAGCTGATGTTGTCACTCATTCCCAATGTTTGACTTTGCAATTCATAAGAACCCCCTTAAAGCAAGCAGAGCTGAGCCTGGAATGGGATATCAGAGGTGGCTCAGGGAGGATGGTGACTCTTGTGTTGAACTGGGGATAGATAAGGATGAAGGCGAGGTGACTGTAAAGTGGGTGGAGGGAGCTGGAGCCCAGCCAGCTCTGGGGTGCAGATGTGCTCCTTGTGCAAGCAGACGTGGCAGGAAAAGCCTCCACTGTTTCATCTTTCCCTCCAGCTGCACTCACCTCTCCTGCAAGTTGTCTCCTTTGCGTGCGATAGCAGGGAGGAACCACACGAAGTGACAAACAGGCAGTGACAGCCTTTCGTGTCTCTCAAATCTTTCATCTGCGGGTCTCAAAGCACTATGCAAATATCAGCTGCCGGGCCAGCTGTGCGAGGACCTGTTTCCCCTTTTAGCTGTCCCTCCTGAGCAGAGCAGATCCCGGGCTGGCAGCAGAACTCCAGCGAAGCTTGGCCACCCCCCGGCTCTGCAGGGCTGGGGAGAGCAGCGAGGGAGTCCTGCGAGGGAGGTGCTTCAGTCCCCACCAGCTGCTTCCAAGTTCCCCGTGCAAATAGCCAAGAATGGGCTCATTACAGTCTGGATGTGGCCCTGGGAACACTCCCTGCTGCTCCCCGCACCGGGCTGAGCTCCCCCAATGCCCTGCACTGGGGATGGAGAGCACATCCCAGCCTCCCTCTCTGCCAAACGGGGATACCGGCGGCACTGGCACACAGACCAAAATGCCTTTGATCTGTTTATCTCTGCAGACCAAAGCACAAATCTATCTTTAATAAGCTTATGATCTGCTGGAACCAGAAAGTTTTCCTGCTGATCCGCAGCCCTGTGATGTGTGTGGGGTAGCTGAGCCGTGGACTGGCTGCCAGATGCTTCTCTAGTGGCTGGGGTGTGCAGAGTGTGGACATGGAAGGATCCCTCCTCACAAACAAGATTTAAATCTGCTCAGGAATGTCTGCGTCAGCCAAAGTCTCCTGGGTGTTGATTTATTACAGGGCCCCTTGCTTGGCTCTGCTCTACGAGGGATCTTTCATCAGGAAGTCTCAGGATGGGAAGTGCCACGGATGGACAAAGTGCTGTGGTTGATGGGGCAGGATTTCCTCTCCAGCCCCCTTGCACTAATCCCTCTCAATAAAAGGCCCCTGCTGTCCATGGGGCAGGCTCTGAGTTCAGCATGTTCTATCTTCCCAAAGCCTCTGGAGAAATTTGAGGGCACATTTTGAGATGCAGTGGGGAAGCAGCTTCAGATTTGCAGGAACACCTGGGTCATAGGGAAACCCACCACCTCTGCAAACCCTTGAGCACAGGAGAGCCTCAAACCCTGACCCTGTGCAATGGCTGTGGAGCCTCCGTGGGGCTGTATGGGGTCATACCCTCCAAGTGAGTTCGCTGGAAGGCGTGCAGCCTGCATGGATTGTGCAAGGAGTGTGGGAAAGCAGCTGGATCTCGAGCTGAAAGGAGCAGGGGCATTCCTGGTGTCATGGACTGCTGTGCTCTGTGAAGTGCTGGGAGGTGGCAGATGTGATAACTGCAGAGTCTGTGGCTGGAAAACCTCACTGTTGGCACACTCTGAAAAGGAAGGAGGCACTGGAAACTCTTCAGACCTGATGGCTGACCTGCCACACGGCCACCTCCACCAGGCTGCACGGGGCAGGGAGCAACCAGGGACGCTCAGAAACTGCAGCATTCCCTGAGCGGGCTGTGCAGAGCCAAGGAGTGAGTAATGAGTCAGGAAATGGCAAGAGGTCTCTGACATTCTGAGTGTACACGTGGGTAAGCAGCAGTTATTAAAGGCTACAGTGCTGGGAGATGGGAAAGTGCAAGAGGAGTCAGGGAAAGTTTGGAACTCTGGGAATGTGAGATTTGGCAAAGGAGCTCCTGGAAAGCCTCAGATGGTGAAGATATGCCTGGAAGGCAGCAGCCAACCTGGGAAATCACACGAGGCAGCTCAGTTCTGAGCAGGGCTCAGAGGGGCAGCTCTGTGCTGTTCTCCCCAGCATGAGCTGGGTTTGGAAAAACCAAAGGAGGAGGGGTAAGGGGGGTAGAAAATTTGTAGAAAACAAAGCATCTGGATGCAGAGCAGCTCCTTAGGCAGTGCAGGCTGAGAGGAGGTGGTGATGTGTCCTGTTGGGTTTTAGAGACATTTGTGTGGACTCTGGTAGAAGATTAGGAAATAGACTTGTGCTGAGTTGTTTCCTCTGGAAAAATCAAAAGTAAAAAGCCATGGAAAGGTACTGACCCCACCACAGGCTGCTGAATTTCCTGGCTAGCAGGCAGAGTCCAGTAACTTTCTCAAATCATCTGCATACTTCGATTTCCAGTAGACTATATACACGACACAAATAAAGGACAGAGACCTCCTCGATGTGCTAATAAGCTTTTCTCCTTTTTAAACAAATAATTTCCAGTTAAATGTCCTGTCCTGGACAAAAGAATAAATAATGGCAGAAATCTCTGATATTCCCTGGCAGGGACTGTGTAAGCCAGAACATAATAATGGGAAATAAGTATTACAGGGAAAGGACAGGTTGAACATCTGGGGCTGTGCAAGGAATTGCTCCTGCCTGCAGACTGGGCAGCTCCCCTGGGTGGTGGGAGACCCTTGCTGAGGTGGCTGAGCTCCAGTGCAACATCCTGCTTGCGTTTATATTTCTGGCATGCCATTAATCCTGGCTATTCCAGGAATATCTCTGTCCAAAGGCACCTTTCCTGTGTGGAGATGTGTGTAATGGAAAAGAAGAGGGTGCTCGGGCCTTTCCCACCCTTTTGTTTTCTGCAATGCTGATCCCAAGCATGCTTAGCAGGATCCCATCTGCTGTGATATAGTGTCAGACTATAGGCACAGTCTGTGACATATATATTAAGCTTCTCTGTGTGCAGAGAGAGGATGTTAGAGGTTTATTTCCAGGTTGTCATTCTGTTTGTGTTATACAAAGCTCTCCAAGCTCTAATGAGTACTAGAGAGTGCTGCTGGCTCCACACTACTACAGAGCTCCTTCAGGGAGTGAAGGCTCACGTTTTGTGGTGTGTCCAGGGTCAAGGAGGGTCCTCTTCTCAGAACTGCTCCTAGATTAAACCGTGCCAGGGAAGAGCAATTTGTGGACACCAGCACAGGGGTTTTCATCTCTCTGGTGCACTATAAAGAGAAAAGGATCAGCTGAGGTCCATGGCAGGAGGTGACAGTCATTCCCTCCAAACAACAAGGCTGTGAGGGGAGCAGCAGCCTTGGCAGGAGGTGACCCAGCCCTGGGTGCACGGGGCTTTCCTTGAGAGGGAACAACTGGCTGTGGCTCCCATGAGTGGATCTTTGTGGACTTTATCACTAATCCTGCTGAATTCAATCATGCACATCCTTGTTTTCCAGATAAATATTTAATCCTCCTCCAAACCATTGAGGTTGTGGCCTGGGCAATAACTTGTGGTTATTTTTTTGGGGGGGTTATGCAGATCTGTTGCTCTCTGTGTGTGGAGGAGGCTGAGCTGTGGTCCAGCAGCAGGGTGGGACAATGGAATACTCTACACTTTGTCCCTGCTCAGACCCCTCCCAGCATTCCTGGCCCTTTATCAGGAAGATCAGCCAATTTCTGAGGGAATGAGCTGTTTGGTTCCAGCTTGGGGAGGGTTAAATCTGCTCTGTGTATGCAAGAGCCTGTTCTGAGGCTGTTTGGGTGGTTTAGGAACCCTCAGGGCTGGAAGGTGGCTCCTGCCCTGGTCACTTCACAGGGAAGGATTCCTTGCTGGAGCCCCAGGTGCTTCCAAAGCCTTTCCCTGCAAAGCTGGCAGGAGGCTGTGCTGCTGGGCACGGGGCAGGGATGAAAGGATTAGCAAAACGCTCTCCTGCCGTGGGGCTGGCAAGGGGCACGGGGCTCTGGGCATGGAGCTGGCTGCAGGCATTGCCCAGGCAGGCTGCTGGCCACCAGCTGCCACCCTGTGTGGGGACCCTGCTGTGCCCCTGCCCGAGCTGCCAGCACGAGCACACGGGCACAGGGAAGCCCTGCAGGGATCGAGGCTGCAGAGGGACCGAGAAGCCACAGCAGTGCTGAAATGCTCCAGGTGAGATGAGGAGCTGGACACTGGTGTGGCTGCATGGCACCAGCGTGGCACCAGCGTTTGTCAGTGCCCCACTGCATGGCACCAGTGTCTGTCTGTGCCCCACTGCATGGCACCAGTGTCTGTCTGTGCCACCCCCATCTCCTGTCAGTGCCGTACTGCACGGCACCAGTGTCTGTCTGTGCCACCTCCATCTCCTGTCAGTGCCCCCCTGCATGGCACCAGCGTTTGTCAGTGCCCCACTCCATGGCACCAGTGTCTCTGTGCCACCCCCATCTCCTGTCTGTGCCACCTCCATCTCCTGTCAGTGCCCCCCTGCATGGCACCTGTGTCTGTCTGTGCCCCCCTTCATGGCACCAGTGTCTGTCTGTGCCCCACTGCATGGCACCAGTGTCTGTCTGTGCCCTACTCCATGGCACCAGTGTCTGTCTGTGCCACCCCCATCTCCTGTCTGTGCCCCCCTGCATGGCACCAGTGTCTGTCTGTGCCCCCCTGCACGGCACCAGTGTCTGTCTGTGGCACCCCCAG